AGCATTTTTAACAGCCATTGTTATCTGCTAAAAATACATGTAGAAATTGTACTTGGTTTAAAAATTGCAAAAAAGGAGATGAAAGCAATAAAAAAATGTTTACTTATAATACATTAAACTGTTGTTAATTATACCGTTTGGCATTCTAAATATAAACTGTCAAGTAGCATCGACAACTAAAATGACCAGAAAACAAGTAACCCGATACATAACTGATAACAATATCTACCTAAAAGACACTGCACTACTTGATCAAGCGATTACCACTTCTCCTATAGCTTGAAGGAGTGATGTGATCCCCACATATGGATGCTCTTCTAAAGTTATCGCCCTACTTTTGACAAGGAATGTTTCCTTACAATTTCATCTTTTGGTTAACTATAAAATAAAATGTAAAATGATAAGTGATTATTACATCAAAAATGGGACTTGTAATGTAACCCAAAAACTTACAAAGGTTGTTTTTTTTTCGATGTATAGAACTTTAAGTTGGCATTACTGTTCAGTTTGGTTTGCCAATTCATCATGAATAGACTCACGCCTTAACAACTCTTGCAAATGGGCCCAAAACGAGATTGAGATTGTTCCTGATTTTCTTAAGCGAATTTTGTTTAGCGATGAAGCGCACTTCTGGTTGAATGGCTACGTCAACAAACAAAACTGCCGCATTTGGAGCGAAGCTAATCCTCAAGTGTATGTCGAAACACCGTTACATCCAGAAAAACTGACTGTTTGGTGCGCTTTATGGGCTGGTGCTTACTTCTTCAAAAACGATGATGGCCAGAACGTTACCGTCAATGGTGATCGGTATAGAGCTATGATTACTAACTCTTTCATTCCTGAATTGAATAACCATGATGTCCAGGAGATGTGGTTTCAACAAGACGGCGCAACATGTCACACAGCTCGTGCCACAATCGATTTATGGAAAGACACGTTTGGTAACCGCCTAATTTCACGTTTTGGATCTATGGATTGGCCTCCAAGATCTTGTGATTTAACACCACTAGACTACTTTCTGTGGGGCTATGTAAAGTCATTGGTCTATGCGGATAAGCCACAAACGCTTGACCATTTGGAAGACAACTTTCGCCGTGTTATTGCCGATATACGGCCACAAATGTTGGAAAAAGTCCTCGAAAATTGGACGTCCAGATTGGACTACATTCGCACCAGCCGTGGCGGTGATATGCCAGAAATCGTATTTAATATGTAATGCCACAAGATTATCTTTCGGATAAATAAAATCCATCATTGTTTTATTGCAACTTAAAGTTCTATACATCGAAAAAAAACACCCCTTACTAAATAGTTATGTACACAAGATGATACTTACAAGTGAAGGACATAGTTTACTCCCAAGTCAAGCAAACTAAATCTATATGTGACAAAACACGTAATCCAATAGGTGAAATGTTTATTGACAGATGTATACACGGCGCAGTTATACATAAAAAATTAATAAAGTCGTATTCATTTGGGGAAAACAAAAAACTATAAAAAGTATGAGTACGCCACTGGATTTGATTTAAAAAAATGTGGCAATGTTTTCATCCCAACTAGAAATTTTAACAAATAAGAGAAAATGTCGGCACTTTCTGACATAATGAAAGTTAAAAAAACACCCTATACCTCGGTCGCTGATTTTTACCATTAAATATTTCTCACTATCTAGGTCAGAAATATGGTATTTCCTATTAAAACACTCCAATTAGGGTCATATTCTGCTAACTTGAATTGTAATACCACCTTTTACCACTATATATCGATTTGTTAGATAACCTCAGTAAGGTATTCTATGTTTGTGTGTATCCAAAATAACCACAACATGGGCGTCTAGGAAACACTGGATCGAATTAGTGTTCTAAAAGTTCTATTGTTGTATCTCCATGGTACTCGACACACAGGTCTTTAATATTTTTACCACAAAGCTTTTGGGACGCAACCGTGTTTTGAATTGAAACATAAAATTTTCATCCTTTTCCCTTTATTAGAGGAAGCTGTTTTTCTACACCTACTGGAAGCATGGGAACATTAAAGTAAATGATTGATCAGATGGAAATTTCTTATCGTTGGCATTCTATAAGTACTTGATTCTTGACTATTTTGTGATATTTGAACTAGATTGTGGACAAAATTATTAAAGGCTAATTAAACGTTCCGTCCACCAATTGCTACGTATGTCCAATAGTCGTACATTGTCCCAGCAATTAAAGTGGTCTGGACAGGTACAATAGCTGCTCGCGAAAGACTCCTAATGTGGGTGGAGATCGCAACAAGCCAAAGAGCACTCGGACTCATCAAATTAGACATCTTTTTGATTAGAAGTTGATGGAAGGTGGTCATTTGGAAAACAAGCGATTAGCCTATGGTTGTAGTGCTCTGATCATGATGTTTATGATGTATTTCGGTTTCGTCATTTCAGGCTTCGTAGTGTAGATACCACTTGCTTTTGCTCTGTGTACATATCTTCGTCAAAACATTTGCCGCAACCCAAATATTTACTTTTTCTTCTTGTTTTAATTGAATTTGATACTACTACTTTAACAAAAATGAAGAGTTATATGGTTATTCATTTGCAGCAACACATTGTGCTTCAATAAAACACTGTTTCTAACCAAAAACGTTACGACGTCTTTCCGTGAGAAATTAAGATCAAATTTTGAAAAAATGAAATACCCTCAATTTAATTTAATTTTTACCTTATAATTATCGTCTCGATCCCACACCAGTGGTAATATAAATTTACGTCTGAAGTTTGTACTCCTCTTATTCCAGTCATTAATGCAAAACCGTCAAATCATTCAATCATTCATCTTGGAATACAGTTGTGCACATATGCATCAGTTAATTCTTCATCTGTGCTGTGATTCTGTTTACATTTTTGGTTTAACCTAGAAATTTTTGTTTCATTCCTTTGTATATGTGTTTTTGAAAATAACTTCAAACCTACAGATGACAGCTATATGTCTGGCGGCAATAACTTTGCGTATAAATTCTGTGTAATTTAATTATAGCACAGTTTCCTGAACTTTGGAAACATCTTGCTAATTTTGTAATTTTTTGTCAATTTTACAGTGTTTATTATTCTTTGCCAAAATTCATCACCATAATAGGCTAACAGCTCATGAATTTAATCACTGAGGGAGATTTCTGTTCTCATTTCTCCGTCCTTGGCATCCAACGCGTCCAAACTGTGATAACGCCATTATGCAAGATTGTATGAACTTGTCATGTAAAGTGACTTCGTTGTCCCCTTTAAGTAGGTCTTCTATATAATGTTCCTTTCATTTAACGATTTGCTTGGTTGCTTATGTTAATCCTCTCTTAGTTATGTGTTTTCGGTTTCAAAAACGACTGGTCCACCGGTAAACTGTAATTTTGGATTCTGAAGGCTCACCAGTTACTGAATATTTTCTGATGTTTTCCCACATTCTTTTCACAAAAAGAGAATTATTTTACGTTGAGAAATCGCTGTGCATTCCACGATTACAAAAACGAGTCTATGTCAGTTGAACACTTAGATCAGATGCAACAATGTTGCATTCTAGTCGGTACAATTTATGATGGCATTCATATTGCTTCCACTTATACTTCAATAGATATTGTTGATCAATGCAAGAGACAGCATCAGTTGAACTTAGCATTTATTAATTTAAATAGTACGCCCATACTCAAAGACGTATTTTATTGGAAAAATAGATCAGGGTGTTCCTTGATGATGACTATGTGCGAATATTAAAGTCTACATAAAATCTACATAACAAATTATGATAATTATAAATAATAAAAATTAAAATAATACCAAAAATATATGTCGTACCCTATAAAATATAATTTGCCAAGGGTAAATATACAAGTAAACCATATTTAGTTTGTATTTTCGATGAAATATCTTCATCATTAGAGCCAAAATTGGAACTGCTACTATCAGAAAATGAGCTTTCGTCTACATTAATAACAATTGGTGGAACCGCTATATCAAGTATCTTTTTCCCATTATTCTTTTACTATATTTTTCGTATGTGTTATACAACTGATTCAATTTTCTTTGTTAACTGTCTGGACTACTGCCTTCGAAACAGATACTGTTGCAGTATCATCGTGCCTTGCCTCGCTTACAATATTTTTATTTCAAAAATATTTTAGCACTGAGCCCACACAAATTCGATGGCATTAAATATACAGTGGTAAAGAGGCAATCTTAAAACTTGATGTTCGATTTCGGCAATTATTTCGTCTGTAGCATACAGTAAGTTTGTTTTGTTATTGACAATTTTTAGACCATTTTCGGTTTAATTAATCCGCTTACTGGGCAGCCAATCTATAATTTCTTCTTTTCTTGTCGATGTATTTGGTACACTTTCACTTAGTCTACAATGATATCGTGCATTATCCATAATAATTCAAAGAGTTTCGACAGCAGTTTTTCAGTAATGCGTAAAACACATCGCAGGTGAAAGTGAATAGTGAAAGCAGATAAAATACTAAGGCCCTTTTCCCTCTTGGTGATGACATGCCATCGCCATCGTATCGACTCTAGATGGTTGCATAAATATGTAAAATCTTTGTCTGGCGCCATTAACATTGCCTATACGTCCTGTGCAATTTAAGTATTGCGCAATTTTCAGAGCTAGCCGAAAACGGTTGAGAGATCTTCCGACATTCACTAGATATATAGAGTCCCTTATGAAGGAATTTAGGAAGTAATGGAAAAAATATTGAGAAGGTTCATTGATCGTGCGCTTACGCGAGATTTAAAACCGCGTTTTTAACCAACGACTTTGCTGAGTGGGCTGGGGGGACCAACGTGAGTCATCAACGAATTGTCAATAAGTTCAGGTGCGGCATTTTACGGGAGTATTTTCTTAAAATGTACATAGATCTCGTTAAATCTTTGTACAAAACGAGTTAAAAGTGTGGAAATAGCTGTTTAGAAATAAAATGGTGCAAAGTGCAGGTTACTAGGTTAAATGTAATAACTCAAACAAGTTGTTGAATTCACTTTATCGTTTACCGTGCGACAAAGTTTCAATGGACGGTTACCCTTAAATTTAACGGAGCGCCCTCCTTTAAAATGAACTTAAGCGATGACCGGGTGACCAGAAGCGCCCTCAGTTCCTTCGCTGCTCGCGAAAAATCGCCATTACCGAAATTCGTCACTGCACAGTACGTGGACAAACACACTGAATCGTCCTTCGAACTCAGCTCCATCGAGCACTTGTAACTCCCTTCCGAATTGGTCAAAAGCCAGAAAAAACAATAGGCCACGTTCGATTTCCTCTCGACGGACCCGCTGGCCATCAACCAAAACGTGTCGACCGGCACGTTTTGACAGAACTTGCTGCACGCGCGTCTCACGCTCTCCGAGCTGCCCGACTTGACGAAATCGACCCGATTCATTTGATAGACGGTGATCATTGTGAGACAGAAATGGAGACCGTGCTCGACGAGCGATATATCAAGCGGTACACACAATTCTTTGTCCCTCTCGACGGAGCAAATCCCCACGTCGGAGTGTTCCGACTTGAAATGATTGACGAAATGGGCCACGGCAACAGTTTTCCGACACGATTTATGGGGACATTTGAGGGGTCCCCGCGAGTAAACGGACAAATGAAATCTCGGTTTCGGTACGCTCATCGCTTTTTTACGGCCGTCCCTTTTCTGATCCGACTGATGCGCGTAAAATTGTTCTTTGGTCATTCCGATTAAGCTTTCGAATGTTTTATCTTCGTCGCCGTGGCCGTCTCCATGCCATCCACCCGCTTGATTGCCCAAGGTGGGCGTTTCATTGGCGCTGTACCTACAGAAATTTATTTATTTATTTGTTATATTACACTCAATATGTGAAATACAAACATGGTTATCCCATATAATTTTTAGGTGCCCAAATATTGGCTCCTCTGTACATTTTATAGCAAAGTTATAATAATAAAACTTTTTGAAGGGGTATGGTTAACTCGTGTGCCGTGTTTGAATAAATTTTAATAAGCCAATCTTCAGTTATTGAATAAATATGATGGCAGAATTAGAAAATTTTTATAGTTTAGGTAATAAATCAAACACCAGTAAAACACATTTTAACAATGACAACACGAAAATTCCTGGCAGTAACAATATTTGTATTTGCGCGCTCTTCAATTAAGGCCAAATATGTGTTCAATTGAAAAAAAAGTAACCATAATTAAGTGGTATTATGCAGTAACCAGTCTTATAGCAGTGTCTGAAATATTTCAACAATTGAGCGTATTATTACCCAACTCAAGTTCAAAAGCACTGTAATAAACAAATGTTCAACTGAAAATGTCGATAATAAAACACAAGAAAGAGACAATAGAGATTTGAGACAGGTTACTGCATGTGGAGGAAAACATTATGATTAGTATGAGGATTCTTGGACAAACTGTAAATAAACAATCAAACCACAGTGTTGCGCATTAAAAAAACACAAATATTTTTCCTACAAATACGAAAAGCACCAAGAGCTCCGGGAAGACGATGAAGACGAAGAGTAACATTTTGTTTTGAAATGACGGAAACAGCAAATAATGGTCGGGATTTTTAAAAAAATACCTGTGTAACTGATGAATGTACATTCACACTCAACAACGAACCAAATGTTCAAAACTGGCGGCATTGAGGCCAAGACCAAGAATATCATTTTGTTCATACTCGAAGCCAATATCCTCAAAAAATAAACTTTGTAATGGGAATTTGCGGACATTATATTATTGGGCCATTTGTTATGAACTATAACCTCGCAACAAAAATCAAATTGTACCGGCACTAGAAGAAGTTGCTCGAGAAACTACGGAGATCTGGTATCGAATGGATGGTTGTCACCTGACCTGCAGCCGAACGACTTCTTTCTGTTGGGTCTTATCTATAAAAATGTTAAATTTGAAAATGTTAACCAGTTACAAAACGTTTGCAATGTTCACAATATCAACTAAGCAATGTAAGAAATGAATTTTATGATGGCTTAGGATATTCTTTAACTGTTAATGGAGGATTGTTTGAACACTTACTTACAAAGTAATGTTTATTTTTGGTAAAGTTTCTTTTTCAATTTTTTGTAACGGTATTTCTATGTTAATTATTAATTATTTTAAACAAAAGACTTGATGGTCAAATTTCCTTGAAGCTTCCTTGTTTCTAGAATCGTCCTTTAAATGAAATTCATTCCAAGAACGCTTTAATGACCAAGGAGGTCTTAAGACCCGAGTATGAGTATGATCCTAAGAAAAACATAATGATATACTTACATACTTAGTTTGTTTCGAATGTATGAAACCAAATGTGCAGCCTTTATGTGATTGTCCAGCTTGACGTCGTCGAGTTTTGGAAATAGCGTCATGGAAAATATTCGCTGATGATCGTTGTATTGACCATTCAATTCTACCATCACATTTAAATCAATAACTGAAGATTGACTTATTAAGATTTATTCAAGCTCGGCACGTGAGTTAATCATACCGGTCCCTTCAAAAAGTTATAATACAACTTTGCTATAAAATGTATAGGGGAGCCAATATTCGGGTACCTAAAAATTTACATGGGATTTCCTATGCTCCGTTGGGCAATGCATCACATAACAAACGGTACATGTAACAAAAATGTATATCGACAAGACATATTTTAAATTTTGGTGAACGTTCCGCACTTCATCAGGATTTTCTCGGTAGACTTGAAGGGGTAGACAGACACAATGTGTGATATGGTTTGACCTGCAGTCCCGCAAACGCATTGTGGTGCTTTGTTCTATCCAATCTATATCCAATAACCAATTTCATAGGCAAAACTGAGTCTCAAAATTCAATTTGAAAAAGATTCTAGTTCAGCCCCCAAGGTAAGCTGTATGCATATAAGGTCAAATTAATGTTGACCATTACACTAAAGTTCTAAATCCTCTACAAAAAGCAGACTGCACGAGAAGGAAAGAAAGAGACAGAAAAGGACTCACTCGTGCGATGTCCACTTAATAAAAACTGTATATAAAAAAGGTCACTCATATAATATTAAATTAAAAAAAACTGTTTATATTGGTTTTTAAAACCGCCCACTAATAATGTTTTTAAATTGTGAGGAATATTATTAAACAATAAAGAAATATTATTATATTATTTGATATATTGTTATATTATTATGTTATTTAATATATTTCATAGTAGACTGTGCTATGCGGTGGAAGAGATATGTACCAGCGAAATCTTAAATTGTACACATCATCAATTTGTTAGATACGATTGCCGATGCGTAATAACAACACCGTTCTACAAAATTAAACTTTGACAGATGTTTTTATTTTGAAAACTGATTTTATAGAATTTTTTTGTTAAGAAAAAAAAACATATTTCACCAATATGGCAGTCAGTCACAGAGTAGAGTGCGAACCAATTTTAGTTAAGCTCTGAAAAAGCTAACAGGATGATTGGCAAAAGGTCAGCAATTTACATTCACAGGCGGAATCCAGACGTCTTGTAAAGAGCAATACAGCGTGTGTGAAAGTTTCTTTGAAAAGTTAAGTACCCACCCCACTTATATGGGCACAAGTGGATTTGTATCAAGACACAACAGTAATAGTTCAAAAATAATGGACCTTAAGCTACCAAGTTTCATCATGTTTAATGTTTAAGTGCACATACCTTATACTGTTTACATAATGCCTAATTTTTGTTGTGTTAATTTAAATTTTTCTCCTTTTTGTAGAGGATTGTATTTTTTGTTTGTTTATTAAACAGTTAATTAGTCATTGAGCTATCAAAATTTATAAACGAAGCTAAAAATGAGGCTAAGAACTGGCAACAATTTCCTTCCTTTGACAAAATTATTCCAAGGTTGTACAAGAAAACGGTTTCACCTTCGTTAGAGCTAAACTTTTGATTTTTGCTTGTATTGATTGATTGATTGATTGATTACGTATATTAACAAAGGTTTGCGACATCTTTCTGTGATTTTTTTAGACTTCGACGCAATTGTAGAACCGAGTTCCTACCGTTTTAGTTTTTTCAGATATTGCCACAATTCAGATTACCAAAAACACGCTTTTAAAATGGGTACGGACTATACCCAGCATAAAGCAGATTATGTGTTCGAGTTATTTGACTGGCAACCGTAATTTCTAAGAAATGTTCGTTTAAAAATCGTACCTGGCGGGTCTTCCTATGCCCGGCCTGTGACACTGTCGATGCGCCTGAGGAGAGTGATGTGAAGGAAACTTGTCCAAATGTTGACCGCACATCAGGCACTCAGTCGGAGTTTCCATTGCGATTTCCTAATTACATGATTTCTCTGACGAAATACCAAAATTTTGGCAGATGATCGGAGGTGGTATACATAGAATAATGACTTGAAATTTGTGCGAAAGGCTCGTAATGTCAGGTATTTTTTGACTTTTATTGTCAAAATTTGTTTTATTTAGTTAATGTGTTTTCAAATTCTTTCCCAACTTTACGTTTACATACAAAATTGATGGTTGTCCCCAAACACTTGTCAGGAGTAATTTGACGTTTTACATTCATCATTTTATCCGATTTATTTCATATTATTGCCTCATCCCTTTACCATATTACATTTTACATCGAAAGAAAAATGACATTTATGAAGTAGTCAGACAGTAATGAAATGTGACAGACTAGGTAAATACTGGTCTCGCGCACTTTTGTTACTCTAGAAAGAGAAATCTAGAATTTTATGTCTTTTATATGATTATTTATTATCAATAAAGTTTAATAGTTCCTTTATGTCCAACAAATCATTTAGCTCTGAGTTTCCCTCTGTGTGCGTGTGTGTTTCAATTGTTTGTCAGTTTTTCTATACATACATGGTGTCCCAATGGTGTTTCGGCTGTTGATATCTGTAAACGTGTAACTCATAATTATTTTCATTTATATGATATGGCTAAACGTACTAGTTTTTTTATTAACTATGCAAAAGATATATGAATTTCAAAGCAAGGTGGCTCAAATATTGGATAGAAACGAAGAAATTTGGAAACATGATATATATTTTTAATGGAATGCCATTTCGTTCAATATGATATTCCTTTATTCGGTTCAAAAGTTGGTTGGTTCGTTACAACGTAAAGATGGCCGTGATAATCCAAAAGTGTCACATTGGATGTGTGCCTTGATAGCTATAAAGATGGAATTTTCCACATTAAATTTGAATAATACGATCTATGTTCTTAATGTGCGTTGAAAAAAGTGGTAGTTATATTGAACTACTAATCTTTGTTTAATTCAGGAATTATTGCGCAGAAATGGTCAAACCACCCTATTTAACACTATTTGCCAGGTAAAATATATTCTATTCCGTTCAAACCAAAAAATAAATATTCCATCTTAAGAAATTGAGGTATGAAGTTTTTAAATTTCTCTCAAATATTTGAGACAATATATATATATATATATATATATATATATATATATATATATATATATATATATATATATATATATATATATATATATATATATATATATATATATAGCGCTGACCGTATTAACTTAAGCAGTTGAATCGTGATTTCAGCAAAATGAATATGAAGAAATCTATTGGACGTTTCATACGAAAGATCATAACTTTATTAACACATAATTTGTAGTACATCATGTGTTGTTCGTCTGATGCACCTGTTTCTAATCTAACTTTTTTTCTATTGCGGTTTAACGCGGTATAATTATAAAATACGAATTTGCAAGAAATTGTAAAGGAACATTTTTTTATACTTGTTTAAAGTAATGTTTCGTTTAACTTTTCAGGGTAACCGGTGGTGAATTGTTCGAAGATATTGTAGCGAGAGAATTTTATTCGGAAGCAGATGCATCGCACTGTATACAACAGATTCTAGAGTCCGTAAATCACTGTCATCAAAACGGCGTAGTACATAGAGATCTCAAGGTAAATAATGTATATTTATTGATTATTGAACTGCAACTAAAGAAAATGCTGTCTACTTATACAATAACGACAACCTTTTTTAGTTTGAACAGCTAGTTTGCAAGATTTATTTAAAAGGCTACTACGCTAATACGGTAATATGTTTCTTGAATAATCAAGGATATTGTTGTTAGTATATAATTTGGCGCTAATTGTAATTTGTAAATTGTAAAAAAAAATCCACCTGAACGTAGGTCTATTAATGTTTATATATTATATATTATCTAAAAATATACTTTGCCCGATTTTGTTTAAATTTGGTAATGTCATTTATTAATAAAAAGGGATAATTCGGGTTTACCTATATTAACATTGTGTTGCCAGTTGCGCCCCGGGAATCTTGGGGAATAATATTGTCATAGAGATGTGCAAGCTACTGTGTCATTTTCAATTTTTTCTGTGTACTACTTTTTGACTCTGCGTTGACCAGTTTTATAAACATTAATTTTTTGCACTGTTTGACTCAAAACAGCTTTAAAGATAAATAATAATAATGATAATAATAATAATAATAATTATTATTATTATTATGAATTTAGTTACCACTTGACTATTTGCTTAAGCAAATTTACATTAACAAACTATGAACTTCGCAAATACCCCGTGTATCTCTTCTTGAATACTCTTAGGCAAGACTCGTTTTTAATATTATCCGGCACTTCATTAAAACTGCTAACACCATCTCAGAATACAGTTTTCTGTTGTAGTTTTTGCTATTGAAACGTGTTGCTTGGAACTTATACTCTTAAAAATTTTAACATTTTCCCAACATTAACATTAAACTTGCTCTTTTAATGAACTGTCCGACATTTAGCCCATTTAGCTAGTCTAGCAGACTTTTTATATGAGCATATCTATCACAGTTCAGTATGATTCTCATGACCCTATTTTGTTGTAACTGTAAGTGAAAAATGCTGCTTGGAACTTATATTATACTCATAAAAATTTTACCATTTTTCCAACCATAATTTGAGATAGCCTGGTTGGTGATCGAGCGCAATTCCAGAAACCAACATTAAACTTGCTCTTTTAATGAACTGTCCGACATTTAGCCCATTTAGCTGGTCGAACATAATCTTTATATGAGTATATCTATCAGAGTTCAGTATGATTCTCATAACACTATTTTGTTGTATCAGTAACTTATTTAAATCTTCTTTTGTACAAAATATAAGCAATGAACAAACATACGAAAAATAAGGCAAATTTATACTATTATGCACTGATATCTTAGTCCACTGTCATAAAAACCGGGATACACGATTAAAAAACCCTATTTTCTTACCAATCTTTTTGCATACATATTCAACATGAATACTAAAACATATTTGTGGATCTAAGAACACTCCTAAATATTTAATTTCGGAAACAAACTCAATTTTAATACTCTGTAGAATTTTTGACAGTTAACTGTAGAACCTATAACCATGGTTTGGAGCTATTTAATTTCACTTTATTTTGGCACATCCATTCACATAAATACTGAATTTCGGTATTCAGTTTGGTAGCTATCTCTTTGCAATCGTTTCCAGAGACTGAGATAAGCGTGTCATCGACAAATAAGTTAACAAATGAGTTTTTTTAAGGATCTTCGAACATATTTAACAATTAAATTAAAATTAATCTAAGAAAGAACGAGAAAGAGATCATGAATTTTTCACATGTACATTTTTTCTGTCTAGACGCGAGAGCAGGACCCTCTATGGAAAGGAAAATAGATGCATTCAAAATGTATCTGTACTGTACGTTACGTATATCATGGGTTCAACACGAATGAAGAAGTCCTTAGTCGCAAGCGAAAACAAAAAGAAAGCCCGCGTACAATCAAGGATCAGTCTAATAGCCGTTATTGTAATGAACAATTATTGCACCTGTATTAACTCCGATTCTATACCAGTTTCTGAGGCCGTCACCGACCATCATCTTGTGTATGCAGTATTAAATTGTCCTTAACGAAAAGCTATTTGTTAATAATATTTTGAGTCTGCTTAATAAACATGCTCCCCTGTAATACAAAAAACAGAAACAAAAAAGCCGTATGTGTTGGATAACTGACGTTTGCAAGACAAAGTATAAAACACAAACTTGACAACTAGAACACAACCTCATTTTCAGTACTATAGACAATTCAGAAACTATACAAAATATGGCATAATGCTTTTTTTAATCACTGTTCATCTTCACTTGATTAAAAACAAAACCAAAAAATGGCCAGAAAATCTGTTAAATACGCTCCCCAATATTTGGGAAAATTCTATAATTAAGCCATCGGCCAAAGTTTCAGATCCAAAGGGATATCAGATTAATTAGTATTTTCCCTACGCCTTCCAAAGTGGTTGAAAAACATATGCTTAATGAAATTTACCATTTTGTAACTTCAAACAGCATAATTCCCAGTTATCAATCTGGATTTCATTGAAGTTATAGTACATACTCAGTGTTGGTAAACAATTTAAATAAAATCAAGCGTAACCGCGATAAAAATTAAAATACAGTTCTCGCCCTCTTGAACATTAGCAAAGCGCTTGATACTATTAGCCATCCTTTATTGCTAGCCAAGCTTCGCTATTTAGGATTTTCATCTAGTGCAATCAAGCTTTTTGAAAATTACGATAGAGTGTCCGCGGTTATACCGCACGGTTCTATTGTAGGCCGCTTATTATTTTCGGGTAAATGCACTTCGTTATCTCAATTGCAGCAATGCGCTGACGACTCTCAACTACCCATGTCATTCACATATTTCAATATTTTCAAAATCATTTTAAGTTCACTAAGACCATTTAAAAAAAAAATTCAAGATATGGTTAATACTGGTTAATGAAGCAACGAATTTGGGCGTAATCTTTGATACCAGATTATCGTTTGAAATGCATTTCGGAAAAAGTTTTAAATTACCTATATGCGCTTAACAAAATTAAACTTTTTTAAATAACACTTGCCATCTACACTAAAGATTCGGTTTTGTGATATTCTGCTATTATCGTTGGTTGATTACGGTGACATTATCTATGGAGACTTTTGCAATTCTATTTTGTAAGGGTTTTTGTAACGTGCACATTAGTTCGTATTATACATAATATAACCTATTAGAAACACGGTCATATTTGAATTTTGTTATAATGAGATTATGACAACTTGGTTCAGTGGCGTATCTATACGAATGGACAAAATAAAACGCATCAAATATATGGGAGAAAACAAATATCAATTAGATCATAGGTTAGAAAAAGTCTACTTTCCCATAAAAACATGAATAAAAGTCACCTTTCCAAACTTTCAGTTTTTATTGAATCATGGTAATCTTCCGATTTGCAATCCGATTTAAACATAAGACTACATACTCCAAAAAGCCATGTGAGAAATATTCTACTGCGATATGTTATCCTATAAGGGAGAAAAAGTAATTCTTAAAATGAATGAAGTTTCTTAATCCAAAAACCACGAAAAAGTTTTATATATTTTCGACTTTGCACACAACGAAGCAGTGCCACAAATCATATTATTTAGGAAAAGGAATATATTAAAATTTGTTCCAGAGCTGCTGCGTACATAAAGGTTAAAAGTGGTTTTGAATTTTTTTCTCTAGTTTTGGTTAGTTTAAAAAAAAACTTGTTGCTCTTTTCTTTTTTCTTTTTTGACTCGGCTTTTGACACGGATTTCAAAACTGGCAAACAAAATTTCTGTGTCAATTTACAACTAGATAAAGATCGTGCTATGACGTAACTGCACAATTACTTTAGTACGTGGAATGCCATACCTAATCATATCAAATTATAAAAAAATAGAACTTTCGTAAGAAATATAAAAAATATCTTTAACTGGAACATAGTGTTATCCCGCAAATGCAGTTTTCTTTTTCCTTTTTACTATACTTTTCTGAGGTTTCATTTGGAGCAATCGAGGTTCTGTATCTATTCCCTTTCTGTCTGTCGTTACGTTATATTTAGTTGTATCTAATTTTTTTAGTCATAGTTTATAAAAATATTTTTCATATACGTTGAATATATAATCCTTCGTTGAATACGTTAATGATCGCTGCGTAGTCTCACTTTTACCCACCAAGTGTAATGCGTATTTTTTGAATACCAGGTGATGCATTGCCGAACGGTTCAGTTATTGAATTAGATATGATGGCAAAATTGCGAAAGATCAATACAACAAACACCAGCGAATATTTTCCATGATGCTATTTCTAAAACTTGACTGGACAATGATAAACCAAATAAAGGTTGGTTTACAATAAAAACATGCACATTTGATTTCACACATTTAGAATAAACTTAGTATGTGAGTATATGATTATTATCACACTCAATCAATTTCATTTATTTAAAGGACGGTTGAAGCATCAAGGAACGACTATAAATTTGACCCTCAGATCTTTTATTTACAATAATTAATAATTATAATAAAATTGCGGCTGCAAAACATTGCTAAAAAGAAACATTATTTAAAATAAACATTATTTTATGTTATTATTATGTTATGTTATGTTATATGTTCAAATAACCCTCCATTCACAGTTAAACAATATCCCAAGCAACCATAAAATTCATTTCTACCACTGCTTAGTTGATATTGGGAAATCCTCTAATATTCTAAAGAAATAGTGTTTTGTATAACTGGTGAAGATTTTCAAATTAAACATTTTTATAGATAAGAATTTTCAAATGACCGCACAGAAAGAAGAAATCGTTCGGAAAGAAGTCGGGTGACCTGGGCCAATAATATTCCCGTTAAAAGTATTCCCCAAATACTTCTTAACCAAGCGAGAATTGTGGGCGGGACAACTATCAATCTGGTACCAGATATCCAGATCTCTTGATCTCCTGACCTTCGCAAACAGCGGGTCCAGATTAATTTAATTTAATTTAATTTTAATTTAATAAGTCCAAGAATTCATTTCAGACACTGCTTTAAGACTGTTTCCTGCGTAGGGATAATATTCCTTTAATTGAATA